TGCTGGATCGCAGGAATCTCTCTGGCTTGAACAGGAGCAGGAACCAGAGGGTAACCTGGGCGGGGATTCACGGCAGACAACGTGTGGAAACTCGGGAGGCCGGAAGACGACGAGGAAGGCGAAGGCGAGGCGGCTGTCAGGGTAGTGAGGACTTCCCCGTTGTTGCCCGTGACTGTCTGCTCTTGTGGGAAAGCATTGAACTGCGACTGGAAAGACGGAAGCTTGTTCGCCGCAGCAGATCCGGAGAAGGAATCGGTGAAAGCAGGGATGGCAGCGGGTCCTGCCGGGGCAATTGACTTGAGTAGTGTATCATGATGAAAACCATCTGGGCCTTTGCTCTCCCAGGGGCGGTACTGGGGCTGCGGCACCAGCATGGGCAACCCGTCTCCACGGTCCAACAATCTTCCAGTGAGGCCTTCATAATAGTCCCAGGAGGAGATGTCCAGCAGCCGGCCAGTTAAACCCTCTCCAAAGGCATCTCCAGAAAGTCTGGACCCCAATCCTTCAGCCACATCCGCCGCAGAGAAGGAGCTGAAGGGCGGAAGACCCGAAGATGAGGACGACTTGGATGCCCCATTGACGTCGCCTCCAGAGAAGTCATCCTTATAGCCGCCCGTGTCCTGGACCGTGGAAGATGGAGTCGGAGGCTGCGACGGGGGTTGCTGCTGATAGCCACCGCCCCCACCACCTCCCGTCCCCGGATAGGCAGAGCCCAGGGAATCTGGACCCTGGCTCCCGCCTTCACTCATCTCCAGTTCATGACTCGAGGCTCCCGACACATCGCCCCCCCATGTCCACACAGGTCGAACAAGCCACTGTCCTCTTCTGAATTCTTCTCACACTTCATGCAATATCTGAGGAAGAAGGGCACATGTCACTCACATATTTGCACCAACATCACATAACACACTGTCAATAAATAATTCATCAATAGTTGTTGATGGAACAAACACTACAGATAATTTAATTTGTAAAAACTTTGCAATTTTTAAAGAAAATAAGCTTTTATTTTGTTAATGTTCCATTTATATTTATTTATTTATTATATGGGAGTCATTATTGACCTTGGCTCTAGATGGATGTAAGCTGTCTACTTCAAGCTCCGGCCGTCTTAATCTGTCCCCACTGGACTAGATCAGGGCCAATCTGGACGATGAATAGAAAATTTCCTGCCTCTGTAGGGAATCGAACACTAGTCGTCCAGACTTTATAGCCTAGTCACTATCACGACTCTAATTTTTAACGAATTTTGAGACAAGGAACAGCTTAGAAACACCAGACGAAACATAAGAAATGTGTATTTATTGTAGAATTCTTCTTTTAAAAAATCAGAAATCAAATTTGGAGCACTGAATTACGATGGCTGATTTAAAATTTGGAACTCAAAATTGTAATATGCCAATTGGCGCAATGATATCTTAAAGCCGACTTTCATCAACACAATTTTCTTGTAACATGATATATTGTGGAGCCGTGTGCACATTTTAAAACCATTCTGAACGCTTTTTCAGAAAATTCTGAAGACACTGACTTTAATACTGCGATAGTGAAATCGAAAGTTCCAGGTTCAAACAGCCGCCTACGGTGAGGGGATTCGTTTTCACTGACCTTACCTACTGACGATGCGCTCTCTCGCCGACTACGTTATATCAGTTCCCCGTTTGACAGAGCTAAAGCGAAAACACAAGGAAACATTTACGACAAAACTTCTTGCAAATACATCACTATTTATCCCGTTACTTTTTTTTATATTTGAAGTATTTCGTAGTACTACGAGTACGCGCAGTCAGGAGACTAGAACAAAAAAATGTACTTCCATTCACAACACGTTCGCTGCCATCGTAAAATCGACCTAGCGACTGAGCTGTGTGAGTCAGCGTGGTTGTGCTTTCCCGTCTTGCTCCGCTGGAAAACACGATCCGTGACAGCCTGATGTGTCACTTACAAAATAACACATAATTTCACAATTACGAACCATTATACAACACTGACACGGAAAGTCGCAACAACCAGCACGGCAGTACGACACAATACCGTGAACGAACTACATTTTTAAACGCCAATATACAAAAACCCATGGCTGGCAATGTGCAATATGCGTTTCTTGTTTCTTAATCTTTTTATAAATGAAACTTACCTCGCTGCACTTCAATATTGATTCTTACTAATACTCTCTTTCATCCTGATTTCCATAAAACAATACACATCGCCTTATAGTATGTAAAAATGTACCTTTTCGCCAGAGCGAGAACGCCTGCCCTCAACACGTCTCCTTTGTTGTTCACACTAACGGCTTGCCTGTCGTTTGTTTGCGAATAGTGTTCGGCGAGTTTAAACGTTTCCCCGACAGAGAGCAGGCGCGTACGGAAAGTAATGCGACGGAAGGGAGTGGTGTTTCCCGATGCTGCCGATAGGGCACTGTCTTGGGCAAGGCCATGTGTTCATCGGCTCCAATAATAATGGATCTTTCTCAGCTGCCCGCAGTTGTAAGATTGCAGGAACTTTATTAGTGTCTGATGTTTCCGTTTTTTTTTTGAGTCATTCCCAACTACGATCCAACAACATTTATTTAAATGGAACCAGCATAAAACCTCCGTAAAATATCTGAAATATGTTAGAAACTATTTTACGCATTTGAACAACGTAAGTCAGTGAACTGCCAAATATTTTTTATTCCCACCGATTGAAACTTAATGTAATACGCAAGAAGCTGAAATTAAAATTATAAGAAGACCTGAAAATGATTAAGTACGATTGTACACAGCTTACAGGCCACAATGACCTACCCATAGGATTTATTTGCGCGTTAGTAATTCTTATGTAGTTTCACATTATTGACAATTGAAATCGATTATTGTTCAACAATCGATGTACCCTCTAACGACCATCTGTGTGTTTCAATACGCAGTTTGAAAATAAAGTATTCTACAAACAACTGTGCATTCTTCAGCTGTTTCTTTGTGAGAAAGTCGTTTATAAAGCATTTGTTTTACGCTACATTGTTTGACTGTTTAAGATTACAAGTGCACTGCTCAGTGATTTACGAAAGTCTGAAGCCTGCAGTCAATTAGCGTAAATAGAACTTCAAGATTTCCTATACTGACGACGAGGTTACTTCGGCTTGTAATTGATAAGTTACGTCGTATTTATTCTTTTTTACGCAAGGACTATCATATTATTATATTTAAAAACATTCAACAAACTATCGAAAAGAGATAAGTATCTGGTGGCATGTATGCCTTTGTTGTGAAGTCCAGTTTGGAAAACTTCAGCAAAACAAAACACAAGAGCATCAACACCCGACATTACGCGGAGGGATATTTCATGACTACTTATGAATCAGGAGTTGCGTGACTAAAGACTGGGTAACAAAGCGGTATGCTTCCGAGATACACTCAGACGCACGCAGGGCTTGTGATGAGCAATATTACATCCCCATTAGTGGTACAGTTTTTTTTTTCTAAGTTCGTCGTTCTGTTCATTCCGTTCGTTGCAGGGACTCTTTATTGATCGGAGTTTAGGAAAATGTGGGCAAAGGAGGAGAGGCATCGAAATGTCATAAAATACGGCCGAGCCTTCGTTGCATCTCGCTACTAACCTCAGCAAAAACATCGACCTCTTAACATTTTCTGAGTGATGTTTTTTAAGGAATTGGATTTTTCACGGCGGTGAGTCTGAAGATTTCTGTCTTCTGGGTTGTTACGCTGTGTAGTCTGGTCGATGTTAACCAACGTTTCG